ACTGGGCAAGAATGCAAGGGGAAAGGAACTTTATATCCTACTGGTGGAAAAGCAAGTCAGTATGGTGGGGCCTCAACATCTAACCACAGGAGGCCATATGATCAGGCTCTAGCACTCCTGGGCTACACTCAGAGGAAACAGTCAGGCTGCAATAGAGAGACCTGCATACTTATGATTATTGTGACATTATTCACGAGTCACAGTATGGGATCAGCATAAACGTCTATCAACAGACAAAACAATAAAGAAAATGTGGTACATGTACACAGTGGAGTTTTGTTGGGAGCCATATGACTTCTTCGGGGGACAAGGCCTGAGAATAGCATGAACAAGTTCTCCTTGTGGCAAGACCCTGGAGTGTCTGACCCATTTGGGGCAAAGCTGATGGACAGTTCACTTTATAATTCTGGGCATGACCCCAGGAGCATATTGCTACCTGTTCTCCTTGCTTTCTTTATACAAATCATGTTGCTGGCTGCCTCTAGTGTCACTTTCTTAGAGCTGTGGATGAAATGGCTACTGCATTAGGAAAACTTCCCCTGATGACTCTCCTCTGGGTGAACCAGAGGGGATGTTGTTAAAAATGTACAGTGGACCTGATTCAGCTCGTAAAGCCTTTGATGTTTCAAGTGTGACCAGGAATTCAAGCTTCTTAAGAACATGATGTTGCCTTTCCAACACACCTTGTGACTAGTCTGAAAGAGTCACAGTAGTTCATGACATTACAAATTTGCATAACTATTCTGGAAAGAATGATTTTAACCACAAGAGTCTAGGAGAAATGCTAATAAATAGATGATATCAGGAGTTAATGGGAACAGTCTAGGAACAGGGAATGAAGCAGAGCCATAGAAATCCACAAGCCCTCACTTCTAAGAGCTGTGCCAATACTGTAGAAAGTTGAGAGGGAGGAGACATGAGAACAAAAGATAAGCAGTTCCAACTATTAAGAGCAAGCTTTTAATTATGTAGTGTACAGGGTGATAGAAAACCTGGTATATCCCCATAGGAGATAGAGTAGTACAGAATGAAGAGTGAATTGACTAAGCCTTGGCTGATGAATTAATTGTGAGGCAAACATTAACCACTAGAGGCGAAACTCTCTTTCTCTTTGCACGATGCTGTAACCGCCAATGCTACCAACTGAGCCCACTGTTCTACCTGTAGGTGTACCTAGTTAGAAAACTTCCTTTATCGCTTGCAACACTTCTTATGCTCCTTACATTAAAGCTATAAATCAAGTAGGTCATGGTTACAGATGGAGAAGCTGGGGGACGGAAGGGGAATGAGGTAAAGGAACAAACCGGTAATTATAGCAACCATTATTAGAAACATAAGGAAACAAATCTGGTTGTAAAACTGTCCATGCAAACTATTGAAACTGTATAAATAGAAACGGCTCAGGCTATCCGGGGCCACTTGTTTGAAATAGGTGGTCAGAGTTTCTTTGCTGCGCCGACTTCACACACCTGTCCCAGGTCACTGGACCTGTTGGGGATTAGAAGTTAGTCTTCCAACAGAGATCTATTTTGCCATAAAGAAGAAAAAAATTACATTGTTTGCCCCCCCCAAAAAATGGATGGACCTGGAGATTATCACATAAAGTGCTAGTAAGTAGAAGAGGGACTAGTTGGCAGGAGGAAGGCACTCAGCAGCAGGGGAGCTACACACAGTATACAGGCACACACAGTACATGTACATATGTACACACGTATACATGGATACACAGTATACACAGGTACACATGGTACTCACAATACATGTTATACATAGTACACAAATATATACACATACACATGGTACACATGATACATGGTACACAAATATACACATACACATGGAATACACATACAAACGTACACATGGTATACAGGCACACACAGTACATGTATATATGTACACATGGTATACATAGTACACATACACACAGTACACACAGTATACACAGGTACACATGGTACTCATGATGCATGTTATACATCGTACACAAATATATACACGTATATATGGTATACATGGTATACAAATGCACATTGTACACATGGAACACACATACACATGGTAGACATGTACACATGTACACATGGTATACATGGTACACAAATACACATGCACACATGGAACACATATACACATGGTATAAATGATACAAAGTACACATGGTACACATATATACACATGGTACACACAGTTCATAATAATACTCATTATTTGTATAAGTTATACATTAATAAAACACAAGTGGAAACAGGAAGCAAGTAGAAGACCCTGGGTTCAGCCACCAGTACTTGGGGAAGGGAGGATGGGAAAGAATGAATCCCATTTTTAACATTAAAAGGAAGAAAATTGGGCCGGGCGGTGGTGGCGCACGCCTTTAATCCCAGCACTCGGGAGGCAGAGCCAGGCGGATCTCTGTGAGTTCGAGGCCAGCCTGGTCTCCAAAGCGAGTTCCAGGAAAGGCGCAAAGCTACACAGAGAAACCCTGTCTCGAAAAACCAAAAAAAAAAAAAAAAAAAAAAAAAAGGAAGAAAATTCTTAGGAGTAAATCTAACCAAGGAGGCAATGATCTCTACAATGGAACTTGGGGACTGCGGGGTGTGGTAGGAGGGGGGACCAATGACAAATAAACGGAAGATCTCTGTGTTCTTGGACCTGAAGAATCAAGACTGTCAAAATGTCCACAATACCCAACGTTTGCTAACAATCACTGTCAAAATTCCGGTAGCATTTGTCATAAAAAATAGAAAAAAGTTACAGAAATCCAAATGCTGAAGAACCCAAACGATCTTGAAAAATAACAGAGATGGACCCACCCTGACTTCAACCCGTGTTTCAAGGCCACCATAACTCAAACTGTGTCACTACCACAAAAACAGGTAGAGTCAACCACTCTTCACCGAAAACTCCAGGGTACAAAAGCAGGAAAGGGCGATCTTCTTCAGCAGTGTTGAGAACCCTGGATCGCTCCAGGAAAAAGACAAGCTGACTCAGGATCATTTTAGATAAGATTTTAAAATTTAGACTTAAAAATTTTAAACATTGTACCAGACACAAAAATCAACTCAAAATGGATTCAAGACTTATTATGATCTCAAAATCACAGAAGAAATCACAGGGAGAGAGGCCATGGTACCAGTACTGGCAATGACTTTTTGCCTACAACACAAAAGAACGGGCAATATTAGAAAAAGTAACCAAGAACAACAGCATAAAACTAAAATAAAAGTCCAACCCACAGAATGGAAGGAAATAGCTACAAACCATGTATCCGATAAGGGGTTTAAATCAAAATATATAACTTATACAACTCAATAAGAAAAAAAAAGAAACAAAGGACTTGGATAGACATTTCTGAAAAGAAAAAGAAAAGAAAGCATCCAAGTGGTCAACTGGTACTTTGTCATGTGATCTGCAGTTGGGGAGATGGATATTAATAAGTGCTTGTCCCACAAGCAGGAGGACCCGAGTTCAGACCCCCAGGATCCATGTAGACACCAGTGTTCACTAGCAATCCCAACACAGGGAGACAGATGGGAAACCTGGGGCTCGGTGGCCAGCCAGTGTAGCCGAATCGGTGAGCTCTAGGTTTACGGAGAGACTCTCAAACAATAAGATGGAAAGCAATTGATGAAGACACTAAATGTCACCTCTGGCCTCCAAATACACATGTACACATGTGCACATGCACACACATCACTAATCATCAAGGAAGTGCTAATGAAAGCCATATCTCAAACCTGCCACACAGAGGATAATTACTGAAAAGAAGGAATCCGACAGTGTGTGGCAGCAAGGTTGAAACCAAGATATACCTGTTAAGTGAGACAGCCCACGACATAGACAAATACTGTGTGATCTCTTTATGTGGAATCTGAAAAAGTAGGACTCATACAAAGAGCAAAAGGCTGGTTACTAAGGATCGGGTGGTGGAGGGAATCAGTGAGATCAGTCACATGATGGAAACTTCTGAGATCTAAAAAACAACCTGAGGAACGCAGTTAGTAAATCCACTGTGTACCTGAGTCTGTCAAGAGAAACCACAGGAACCATCCTTGCCATACAGAGAGCAGTGGCTATGCAAGGTGCTTGGCATATGAATTAACTTTGCAGCAGTAATCATTTCATAACATACATGTATGCCAAAACACCATGGTGGGCTATCACAGAGGTGGGTGCCTGTAATCCCAGCTGTTAGGAAGGCTGAGATAGGGGTCACAAACTTGAAGCTACCCTGGGCAACTAGCAAGACCCCGTCTCAAAATTTAAAAACAGAAGAGCAGTAGGGATGCAGGTCAATAGAAGAGCACTCACCTAGTAATGTCTGAGAGCCTGGGTCCCAACCTCAGAACCGCAAAACAAAACAAACCACCACAGTAAAAATCACAGCCACAGTCACACCTTAGATACTAGTTTTATCAACTTTGACTCAGTAAAGCTGTAAAAAGAAGAAAAAAAAGAGAAGGAGGAGGAGGAGGAGGAGGAGAAAGAAAGATAAACAGAAAGAAAGAAGAAAGAAAGGAAGAAAGAAAGAAAAAAGCAAACAACAAATCCAGTTAAGCCTGTGGGTGTCTACTCAAGGGTTCTGGGCTCCTCAGTTAGCTGTGAGTGGTCCTGGCTGGTCAGAGAGCAATCTTTTCTCTTAAGTTGATACGACAGGAATCTAACTGCCCTTCAGCTGAATAGCATGATTTTCCAGAAACAGGATTTCATATTAGTAGTTTTAATTCATTAAATATTAAAACTATAACCGCAACTTAAAACCCAGTATCTACTACAGTGTTCTATGAACAAAGGGTTATTTTGGTAACCACACAAACACAAAATCACACACTGTCCCTAGTAACTTTTGTATTTTTGGTAACAAATGTTTTCTATATTTTGAGATTTCCTAAGAGATAAAAATAAAAAAAACAACTTCTATGAGGTAAAGACATTCAAAAGGCAGAGGAGCTGCGTCTGTGAAGCTCCATGGTGCAACACGAGGACACAGGGTCACGAACCTCCCCAGGTGAGGACGTGGATCCTCTTCCACCACACATAGAGGAAAAGCAGGGCAGACAGGAAGAACTGGGAGGTGGTGTTGGCCCAGGCTGAACCTCTGCAGGAGAAAAGGGGAGGTTAGCTCACTGCTCTGACAGGCTTTGGCTGGCAGCGAGCTGGGAGTGCCTGTGCTGCCTTCCTTTTGTGTGATGGCTGAGTCCATGTGGAATAGGCTTGTTTGTCTCCATGGAGATGGATCCGCTGTCCATCCGTGTGACACTGAAGGGCTCGAAGCTGTGTTGCCATCCCACAAGCCACCAACCTTAAACAAGCACTTCTTAGATGATGACCAGTTCAAAGGGCTGGGCCAGCCAAGTGCTCGTCCAAGCCATGGTTTTATGAGACAGGAGCAGAGCAGGTTTGTCTTCCATCAAATAGAACACTGGGCATCATCAGTGGGAGCCATCTTCCCACCCCAGGTACATGCTGGGCCAGCGCAGTGCCCACACTCAGCATTCTTGTTGACTTTTTCCCCTCTCCTATTCTTTATCATTTATTAACGTCACTATTATTAGCGTCATTATTAGCGTCACTCTTTATCATTTATTAACCCTCCCCTGTATCCTCTCCTCCCTTTTCCAAACTATCCTGTGCATGTCTCTTTAGGAAAAGTCCAAGCTTCTGTCTCTCAGGTGCCCTTCATAGGGGAACCTGGGCCCTCTGTGACGTCTTGTCAACCCACTGGTCCTCCCCTTCCCTGATGGGCTCCCTCTATTCTCCGACCAATGCCCGACAGTTGCCCTTGGCTGTCAACTTAGCTGTCAAAGAATGGTTTGAAAACAAAACAAAACAAAAAAACACCTCAATGGATCTGCAGGGCTTGTCTAGAGGTGGACATAGAAGGCGGTGACTGAGGGGAGACCCACCCCAAATGTGGGCCATACCATCCAGCAAGCTGGTGGCCCAGACTCAAAGAAGTTAGAGGAAGGAACGTGCCGGTGTCTGCAAGCCCCCTTTCCTTTGGGGGTAAAATACTGATGTCGTCATCACCCACTGACATTAGGCTACAGTTTCTTGTTGGTTGGCTTTTGTCAACTTGACACAAACCTAGACATCTGAGAAGGGGAACTCTTAAGTGAGAAAATATCTCCAAGACTGTCCTGTAAGCAAGTCTGTGGGGGGTCACCTTGATTAGTGACTGATGCCTGAAGGCCCAGCTCACTGTGGGCGGTGCCATGCCTGAGCAGGTGGTCCTGGGTGGTTTAAGAAAGCAGGCCATAAGCAGTGCTCTCCATGGCCTTTGCATCAGCTCTGACTTTGACTTCGCTCCATGATATGATATAAAAGGGTAAGCAAAATAAACCCTCTTCTCTCCAAGCTGCTTTGGCCATAGTGTTTTACCACAGCAATAGAAACCGTCACTAAGACAGGCTTCCTCAGCCTTTCAACCTGGGCCTGCCCACCAGTGACTCCACAGGGAGCCTCCAGGCCTTCAGTGCCAATTTGGGACAGCTGAGGCACCTAACTGCTTGTCTCGTCAGTGGGTATATGACCACGGTTAGACTACCCAGCTCCTATCATGTAAGTCCATCCATGAATTCCCCTTTTGCAATATATGCATGTGTTCTCTCTCTCTCTCTCTCTCTCTCTCTCTCTCTCTCTCTCTCTCTCTCTCTCTCCTCCCTCCCTCCCTCCCTCCCTCCCCCCCTCCCTCCTCCCTCTATCCCTCCCTCTCTCTCTTTTTCCAGGAAACTGATACAGCCTCCTTCATCTTTCTGGCATGAGGAAGACAGCATGGGAACCAGGCCTTGTACATGCTAGGCAAGCTCTCTCCCACGGAGCTGCATCCCTGCCCATGTTACTCTGTAATGATGGCTGTCATGGTCTCATTGATACCCAGAGCCCACATTAACATGTGAATGGAAACCAAACAGTTCACAGTGAAGACATCCAACAGTTGACATAACTCATATGTTATACTCTATTTTGTTTTCTTCTCCTTAATTCCTAGCATATTAACTTCTTTTAATTATAATTTATTTCTCCCCTTCTCTTCCCTTCCCCCATCCACTCCCATGTACCTCCCTGCACCCCGCTTTCGTTCAAATTCATGGCCTCTTTTTCTTTAATTGTTATTACATATATGAGTAACATTCATGACCCACTAACCAAAGAGCACAGTACCCTGAAGCACCCCCCAAATTGTGGGGCTCAGTCTTCATTTGCTGGTGTGACTCTCTTGCCACTTATGCAGGTTAGCTCCGGGCTAGGGCAGCCGAACATCCTCTGGTGTGAGGAAGCGCCATCAGGACACTATTGGGGAACCCCTAACTTCTCTCTTTCTTTGTGGGGCCCTCATCTCTTCAAGCTTCCAGAAGGAATTTGGCTCAGCCACTTAAAATCCAGAAGCCCTGAGAGAAGCCCTTCAGGCCTCTGCCTGTCACCCACCTCAGCCTCCAGGTGGCAGCAGCTTGCTTGTTAGGACTAAAACCGCTTCTACCACAGAAGCCTCCACATAGCTGTCCAAGGCTCCTTGTCTCTGTCTAATCTCCACCCTCTCTCTCCCAGCAACAGCTAGCTGCTCCTCTGTGGGCCCACGGGGCCAGCTCTTACCTGCCATGCAGAGCACCAGAGCACAGACAGCTGGGTGCCTGCTTACCTGTCCACGTTCCCCGCTTCACTGGCATATCCCCAGCCCTAGGGCACGCCGCAGTCTTTGTTGGATGAAGGGGTTTCCACTTACACGACTCCGAGGTCCAAGGTGTACAGCAAGAAGGCATTCATGCCCACGTTGACAACATTTGCTGCGATCCCAACAATAACCTGGGGCATAATGATGCCCTAAAATTCCCAAACAAATAGGAAAACATTACTATTTTCAAAAGCTAGTCGGCTAGGCTGTCCAGTGAAACTCACAGTTAAATAGGTGGCGGTGGTAAAGCCATGCAAGGCTGTAGAAAAGCCAGGAATGAGCAAATGAGGCCCCTCCTTTGAAGGAGCTTCTCACCAAGCCACCCAGAAGCCTGTGGGGGCCGTTTCAAAACCCTGTCCAGTTTCATCACAGCAACAGGGAAAAGAGGAATTGGTCTCAGGAAGAACACACAGGCTTTGGGGGTGTTGGGACCTAGAGCCCCAACACCCCCAAGAAGAAAACATCTTCTCACATGCACAGCACCCAAAAATACTTGCTTCAAAGCAAGTGCGGAGAAAAATGTCCATCCCTTTGCTCAGCAGTACAAGCTGTTCTGTTCTGTTTTTGTTTTTGAGACAAGGTCTCACTCTGTAGTTCTGGCTACTCTTTATGTAGACCAGGTTGGCCTCGAACTCACAGAGCTCCTAGTGTTGGAATTAAAGGCATGCACATTCCTATTGTTTATGCTGTCTACACTTCAGTCCTCAAATAAACACTTTTTTTCACCTTAAACTTCTTCTCCCAGCAATCACACAGAATGGAAGACTGTCGGAGCAGAGCAATTTCCTCTGGCTTAGGGACGAGGCCTTTATGTTTAAAGGCTAGCCAACTGTCTGTAGCTAGCCTGGGACAGGACACTGGCTAAAGTTGGGCCCAGTTTCTGCCCACCCACTTCTGGCCCTCTCCTCCTTCAATCTCCCTTCTGCCTTGAGTACGGCACGCACAGTGTCCACTTACAAGTGGAGCTGCAGTAACCCCAGCCCCTCCCAGTCAGTATCAAAATTGGGGCCAGGTCCCCAGGTCAGCTGCAAAGCCAGCAGCGAGCTGAGAGACTAGGGAAGCCTTAGATATGAAGGCCGCACAGGGCCGGCAGGAAAACTAGGAGGAACCAGACAGACGAGTCCACACGACCGCCATCTCTTCTGTACACAAAACCACAGGCGCCTGTGTTCCCAAAGTGCGTGTGTGTCTCAGAAATGAATTACAGGGAAAGGAGGTACAAACTATTACAGAAAATCCCTTTAAAACATTTACTCCACGTTTCCCACAGTAGTGTGCAGTAAAAACACAAATGAATACCTGACTCTGTAAATACCGTGTCTGCAGCTGGAACAGGAACGCTGCCTAGAAGATGAAACAGAAAACACAGAGCTTACTTTGTTTCTGGTTTTGTTGTTGTTTTACATTTCTGGGGACCAAGCCCAGGACTTTGCCCTCAGCATGTCTGCTGCAAGGCTAGGCCCCAACTCAGTTTCTTTTGAATGATAATTTTATGAAATAGTGGATTTCATTATAACATTTTCATACATGTCAAGCTCTAGAGTTGTATTATTATTATTATTATTATTATTATCATTATTATTAAGTTTTGGCCTGTATTCTGGCCAAAAAGAAAACGGGCTTCACTTGGCATTCCCTGTACATATCACTGCCCTTGGTTCTTATTCCTCAGCCATCACTGTCCTCCCAACCCCTGCTGGCCTTCCTCCCAGAGCTTCATCTTCTGTTTTGATGGCATGTACGCTACAACCATGTCTTGCTCCCTCCCCTCTCTATAGACAGCTTTCTCCCCTCTCAGAGTGCCTTTCCACTTCTGTGTCACACACCCACCCACCATACATACATACATACATATATGTGTATATATATATATATGTGTATATACACACACACACACACACACACATACTATACCGAGATATTTAAATCTACATTCTGCACAAGGAGAAAAGATTCACTGTTTGTTTCTGAGTCTGGCTTACTCCACTTAATTCTATGGTCTCCTGTCCGACTCATTTTCTTTCCCTTTTTATATTTATTTATCTTTATTATTGTGTGTATATGATTTACACTCCCACATCCTCACCAGCATTTGTTGTCACTAGTCTTCTTGATAAGATCTAGTCTCACTGGGCTCACATGAAACACCAAGGCAGTGTTAATTTTTATTTCTCTGATAGCTAAAGATAGTGACTACTTTTATTTCTTCCTTTATTCAATCCATTAGCCCATTTTGATTTGGGAGATATTTAAATGTTGGTGTTCTTTGTATAGTCTAAATATTAATCTCATGTGGGATGTATGATGGGCAAGGACTTGCTCCCAGTCTGTATGCTGCCTCTGATGACTGTTTCCTTCGCTATTCGGAGGCTTTTTAGTTCCATGTCGCCCCATTTGTTCAACCTCAGGATTATTTCCTTTGCTGCTGTCTGCCTTCTTAGAGAGCCCCTGCCGGTGCTGGCCCGCAGTGTTTTCCTCGTGTGCTTGGTTCCCGTTATACTTAAGGTCTGTGTTCTATCCCAAACTGATTTCAGTGCTGGGTGAGAGATATGGATCTATTTTGATTCTTCTACATGGGAACAGTTGCGTTTCTCAGACCACTCATCAGAGAGGCCACCCTTTCTCCAGTGTATGTTCTGATACCCTTGCCAAGGATTGGATGGCTTTGCGTGGATTTTTTTTTTCTGGGTCTTCTATGCTATCGTTGTCTACTCTGGTTTTTAGGATACTTTCTTTCTGTTTATGTAACATCAAAATCCAGAACACCAGATTCACCCTAAACAAATGCCAGAATGATTTGAAAGATTTACTTCCTAAAGAGCAGAAAAAGAGCAGAGCCTACGTGGCTGAGCGAAAGCCCCAGTCTGGACTGTCTGGGGAGGGAGCTACCTGCCTAATCTTTGGCCAGAAGCCTCCCAACTGCAGGTGTGAGGCCAGGCTGGACCTCCAGAAGACGGGAAGCTCAGTCCCAGAGCCCTAGTGCAAGGGCTAGGGCGTGAGCATGATCCTCAGGGATAGTGTGTGCAAGGGTCTTCACCCCTGGCTCCCCCAGGACCCGTATGGTGGAAGGAGAGACCTGATTCTCACATTTGTCCTCTGACCTCCACACATGTGTCATGGCATGATGAGGAACTCCAACTGGGTCATGGCTGCTTGGGTGATGGGGAGCCTGGAAGCAGCTCAGGGTGTGATCTTCGCCTGCCTTCCCACCCCTCCTATTTGTCACAATGCTGTTCCCGACTCCTTATTCCGTTGCTCCTCTTCAAAACAAAAAGAAAAACAAAACAAAACAAAAACCTGTCTTCTATGTAGCTCAAACTGGCTCAAAATGTTCTTCCTTCTACCTCAGCCTTCTCAATACAGACAGGGTCACAGACGGTGCCGCTCTGTCCAGGAGTTCCATGGTTACTGTTTGATTGCATCAGCAGAATACTCCATTCCCTCTTCGAAGGAATGCAGTCAGGAAACAGCTCAATGCTTGTTTCGCTGCATGGTCCAAACACTGCATCATGCTCCTTGAAGAATGAAAACCGCTCTCAGGGGTTTGCTTCTCAGGACTCAGTGTCTGGCACCGCCTCACCGCAGAGACTGAGACCCTGCAGGAGGAAGTCTGAGAGGGCACCTGGTGGGGTTTCTGAGTCTCAGAGGACAATAGGCATTTAGATTCTTGCTAAACTTATTTTTTTTTTCCTTCAAGAAAAATGCTGTAACGACGTTGATGACTGCTTTCGTCCTGGAACTACTAAGTATGCTTTAGTACTGCTTGTGGTTAAACTATAATGCAGCTATAGAGTATATAAGGTGTAGCCTGTTTTCAATAAATGGGCAGTCATCCTGATTCACCCTCAGATCATGTCAATCTCTTTTCCTCGGCGACTCCACACCTCCTCTTTGTACCTGAACCCCACTGGAGCAAAATAAATAAAATGTAATTAAAGAAAATATAAGAAGGAAACATTTCTTTTCTTTTTTCTTTCAGTTTTTCAAGACAGAATTTCTCTGTGTAGTGCTGGTTGTCCTGGAACTTGCTCTGTAGACCAGGCTGGCCTCAAACTCACAGAGATCCTCCTGATCTGCCTCTTGAGTGCTGGGATTAAAAGCATGCTCCACCACTGTCGCCCAGTGGAAAGGGTTCATTTTGACTCAGAGTTCAAGGACACAGTCCACCATGGCAGGAAGTTCGTTGAGGCAGCTGGTCATGTTGTCTCCACAGTCAAGAAGCAGGAGAGATGAATTCTTGTGCTCAGCTAGCTTTCTCCTTTTGTGCAGTCCAAGAACCCAGCCAAGGAATGGTGCCACCCGTAGTGGATATGCCTTTCAAATCAACCTAATAAAGATAATCCTCCAAGGGCATTCCTGAAACTGGTCTCCCTAACAAATCTAGATCTCATCAAGTTGATGGTTGAGATTAACCATCACACATTTTGGAATTAGCTTCAGTGGCCATCAATGGACAAACAGATAAAGAAAATGTGGCCTACGTAAGACAATGGAATACTATCCTGCCATTAACACTGAAATCATGTCCTCTTTAGGAAACTGAACAGAACTTGTGCTCCTTGTTTAGGTGAAAAGCCTGACTCAGAAGGACAATTATTACATATTTTCTCTCATATGTAGAACTGAGAGGGAGGGGTTAGAACAGGGGAAGTTGAGTAGGATCCCGGGAACCAGGGGAAGGTAGAAGAAGGTAAGAGAGGGAAAAGGGGTCTGATCAAAGTGCATTATATACATGTATGCAAATGTCTCAATGGAGATCATTACTTCATATCATTGTTATTAGTGTGTCTATGATTATACACTAACAAAGAAACACAGCAGCTGTGAAACTTACAGGAAGAGCAGGGATGCAAATCATCACATAGACCTGGGCTATCCTGGAACAAGAAGACAGCTTTCAGCCAATAGTGAAGTGGTTTCTGGTCACCCTCCCATCAGGTCCAGCTCAGGGGTATCTTCTAAAAGTTAAAACTAAACACCTATTGGTAAGACAATGAGACAAAGCACCAGCAGTAGCCAAAGACTGCTAAGTGGTCCTTTAAGTTGGGGAAGGGACAGCAGACACTTTTCAGCAGCGAGTGATGAGGGGGGATGACTGACAGGGAAATTTGCTACAAGTTGAGCACAATGTGATGCAGAAACCTCTGGAAAGAACCAACCCAAGAACAGAGACTCCACTAGACTGTTAAGTTTTATAAAACCCAACCCTAAACACAACAGTGAAGCCGACTGTGCGTTGGACTGCCTGTGGGAGAAAACTGTGATGGACACAAGAGAGATAGCCCGGTGCATTGGTGTGTGCTGCTTTGGCCCTGTGTCAGCCATTCTGTGGTCACAGTCACAGCTTCTGGTCCCAAATGCCATCCAGCAAGATGAGAATCAGCTGAGAATGTCTGCCACCTACTGCTGACCCGGGACTCTGATCCGGAGCTCACCTGGCGACTTCCGGGTCCTGTCTCAGGAGCAGGAGCAGGTGCTCCGTGTTGAGGAAGACAGCCCAGCACGGGAAACAGCAGAGCAGCAAGATGAGGATGCCCCTTTGCAGTATGACCCCCACGCGCTTCAGGTTCCTGCCTCCAAAAGACTTGGAAAAACAGTGTTTCAGAAACATGGGGACCAAGGCCCCCCACTTCCAGGAGGCCCAGCGGCTCTGGCAGCCATGTTCCCTGTAGCACTGCCCAGGAGGCGGGGCAGGAGGAAGGCGATGGGGGAGGTGGGGGAGATGGCTGCCCGGTCCCAGACAGCCAACTGCTACTGTGGCATTGTATGTGTTCTAGGACAACTGTTCCCTGCTCTTGGGAACTGGGGCTGTTCACATGGAGCGTAGAGGAGCGGAATGAAGCTTTAGGAAGGGGGTAGGCACAGCACAGGGGTGTAGAGGAAGAAGGACACCCACTGCCCTGATAGTTAAAGGATGGCTTGTGTTCACTTGACGATTTTATTGAAGAAGACCGAGCAAAGGCTAGGCCCAGTGGGACAGGCAGTGATGGAAAGGGCATTGATGAGGACGGAGCCCAGTGCAGAGTGAGGACCTGGAGTGCAAAGGCCACTTTTTTTTTTTTTTTTGGTTTTTTGAGACAGGGTTTCTCTGTGTAGCTTTGCGCCTTTCCTGGAACTCACTTTGTAGACCAGGCTGGCCTCGAACTCACAGAGATCCACCTGCCTCTGCCTCCCGAGTGCTGGGATTAAAGGCGTGCGCCACCACCGCCCGGCTGCAAAGGCCACTTTTAAGAAGCTTACAGGGGAGCTCGGAGAAAGGGGCAAGGAAAGCACAGCCCCTGTGCAGACCAGGCCCAGAATGCAGAATTGTCTGCCAAACACAATGGGACCCATTCATCTGCCTGTGCTCCTGCACCAGGACCAGACCAAACCCAACCAACGAAAGTGGAGTCTCTTTGCTAAATGACACACAAACCGAAAATTTAAGGAGGCAGAAAGATACCAAACAGACTGTTTTCCCTGCAAACAGGGGTCCCAGCCTAATAAGTCAGGCTAATAAGTTCCTCGGCTTTAAACTGTTGGATAAAAGAAAAAAAAAATCACCCAAAGGAACCTGGTGCCACCCAGGTCCTGTTTGTTTTCCTACTGTACCTTTCCTTGTCCCCACCTCACAAAGCCCACTCACTGCTGTGCCATCAGCATGAGCTGTAGCCTTCTTGTCCCCTAGCAGAGTCACAAATGAAGCCTCATGAGAGTCACAGCTGAGTTAGCTGAGCGTTGGTCACGTGATTTAGTAACGCTAGCTATGCTGTCCATACATAAAGGGCTGCCAAACCACAGTGTGTGGTTCCCTAGGCAACTGCCAAGAACCCATGTGGGCAACGAGGTTCTCACCTGAGACATCAGCGTGTCACAAGCTGAGGCCAAGCCGGTTCCCACTGAAATCCCAGTGACATTCACAACCTGCAAAAAAAACCAAAAACAAACCAGGCCCAGAGCAGCAGACTGCAGCTGCTCAGAGCTGAGGAGCCTCAGCAGCTCATTTTGGTTTTATGAGACAAAAAATCTCCTTTTTTAGCTATCCTGGAACTCTCTGTGTAGACCAGGCTGGCCTTGAACTCACAGAGATCAGCTTGCCTCTGCCTCCTCAGTGTTGGAATTAAAGACATGTGCCACCTACCCTGCCCAGCTGTTTTTATTTGGTTGGTTTTTGTTTGTTTGTTTATTTATTTATTTTTGTTCTTGTCCCAGGGTCTCACTATGTAACCCTCTCTGTTCTGGAGCTCACTATGTAGAACAGATTGGTCTCGAAATCACAGAGATCTGCCTGCTTCTGCCTCCCTAGTGCTGGGATTAAAGGCCTGAGCCACTGCGCCCAACTCAGCAGCTCATTTTCAAAGAACATGCATGCCCACACAAATGCCCAGGCTCCTGTGGTTCAGGTGGCCGCACGGATTCTTGAGGATTACCAAACAAAAATGCCTTTTCTAACCTAGGGCCACAGCCACCCTAGGTCAACCAGGGGAGCTTAAAGCCTTTTCACTTTTTTTTCTTTTTGAGACAGGGTTTCTCTATATAGCCATGGCGGGCTTGGAACTCGCTCTGTAGACCAGGCTAGCCTCGAACTCACAGAAATTGCCTCTTACTAACAAGTGCTAGGATTAAAGGCGAGTGTCACCGCATCCAGCAAGCCTAGATTTTCTTCATATAGCATGCAAGAACTTCTGCTTTAGCAAGGAAAGCCAGGCACTGTGACGAGTCCTGTGGTCCCAACACCTCGCAGGACTGAGGCAGAAGAGTCACCAGAGCCCAAGGAGTTCATGACCTGTCTTGGTACCAGAGCCAAACCCCACCTTCAAAACTAAAAAAAAAATCAAATAAACACAAAGGCTTTGCTATCATCTAAGGCCGTGTACCTCGTCTGCCAGAGGATATGCATTCAAAAGTAACAGGTTAGGGTATCTCACACACACACACACACACACACACACACACACACATACACACACACACACACGAGTGCGCACGCACACGCGTGTGCATGCGCACATAACACCCAGTTTTTACTGAACATACACTATGTGCCAGGCTCTTCACGAATATGGTGTTAGGACCAGGCACTGTCCTAAGTCACATGTATATAGGGTTATAGTTTCCCATTTTAAGAGGTGGCCTGGGTGACAGAAAACTTATTATATTTACCTAGGTTACTCGCTGTGACCTGAAGCTGGGAGGTCTGGCTACATACCTAAGGTTTTAGTAGTCTGGTAAGGATTGGGCTTATACCACACACTCAAGCAGATCTCATCCACTCCCCAACTACCCAGAGAGTAGCCCATAGGTTGAGGGATAGGGCAAAGTGTGTTCTTGTCCAGGCCAGCAGAGAGGGAAAGTACAGTGCACTTCTTCATCCTGGGTCTCACAGGTAGCAGCTGATGTTAACTCCAGGTAAATTAACTGCTTTACTTACCAAGATTCTGACCCTGTGTTTTGGCTAATGAAATGTGGTCCCCAATGGTGTATGAGCTGAAAGTCTGGTCCTTTGTATGGTGTAATTGGGAGGTAGTGAAGTCTTCAAGAAATGACATTTAGTGGGGGGTGATTAAGTCTCTGGGATGCCAGCCTCGGCTGGGGCTAGTAAGTTCTCACAGAAGGCAGAAGACACAGTTCAGTGGGAAAGTGCTATCCTAGAGTGAGAATCCAGCGCTGCATGAGCTGGGCATGGTGGCAGCATGTGCCTGTAACCCCAGCCCTGGAGAGGTGGAGGCAGGAGGGGCAGAGGCTGGGGGCTACCCTTTACTACACAGTGAGTTTGAGGTCAGGCTGGGCTTCATGAGACCATCTCAAAAAACTAAAGTTCTCCTGGGACCTAATTTGTTCTTGGGAGAATGAATTGTAAGGAGAGAGAGTCAGATGCCAGACTCAATCTTGCTTCCTGCCTTACTGTATGACTGCTTGCTCCTCTCATAAGCCACGATGCCATCCACATGTGATGATGAGGCCCCCACCAGAGCTCAGCAGAAGCTGGTGCCAGGCTCCTAAATGTCCTGAAGTGTGAGCTAAAGAAACCTTTCTCTATAAAGTGCCCAATGCTTTGAGATGGTAGGAAGGGACCGAGATACCTGGGAATCTACAACTCCTAGCCCCAAGAGATCACTAGCAGGCCACATGTGGAGTGCCCTAAAATTACTCGACCAGACATGAAATCCAGGCACAGTGAGGACCCAGATGTGAGGTACACACTTCTACTGAACCAATCAAGGAAAAGAAAAGGGGGAGGTATCTCACTTTATAAAAAGTTTTGGAGGGGCTTTTTTTTTTTGACATGGGGTTTCTCTGTGTAATTTTGGTGCCTGTCCTGGATCTCACTCTGTAGACTAGGGTGGCCTCGAACTCACAGAGATTCGCCTGGCTCTGTCTCCCGAGTGCTGGGATTAAAGGCGTGCGCCACCACCGCCCGGCTAAAAGTTTTGTTTGTTTTTTTTTTTAAGTCACACATGAGAGTGTCTTTGTTCTGCTGTGTTTGGTTGTTGTTGTTGATGATGATGATGATGCTGTTGCACACTAGCTGCCTTTGGCTGGCTTAGAATGCCAGTCATCCTCTATAGCCCAACGTTTGTTCAAATTTCTACCAGACTGAGCTCTCTCTTACCATGGACAACATTCTAACAAACGACAAGACAAAAATTAGTAGGCCTGTAATTCTGACTGAGGCAAGAATATTGAGAGTTCAAGGCCAGCCTGGGTTACTGAGCAAGACCCTGTCTCAAAAACAAAATTTATAAAACGTAACATATCTAATCATGGTTCTATCAAGTCCACCGTCTTCCCAAAAGTTAGTTACAAGCTAACATCCATTAAAAGCAACCTATTTCCTTGACCCAATTACAAAGGCTGACAGTGGCTCTCTCTATTCAGGACCTTATCTGCAGAAAGCCCTGCCTGTGGAACACACCAGCCTTCCCACATACCACCACCAAGCCTCCCATCTCCCTGTGGATTGCATTTATTCCTGTTGTTTTTACATCAAAAACTCTAGAGTCATAAACGGGAAAAGGAAAGGAAATTGCCAAAACAAACAAACAAAACCAGCACACACACACACACACACACACACACACACACACACACACACACACACACAATTTTAATTCGGTTTTTCTCCAAAAAGATATATCTTAAAATGATTTTAATGTAAGAAAGAAAAGAACGAAAGCCTCATGGTGTGACGCAGTTATGACTTTGAGGCTTGAAATCCTCACCAAAGTGCAGGACGGAAAAGCCCAGCCAGAGAGGCTGATGGACAAAGAAAAAGACAAGGAGATGCCGGGTGAGCTCAGGCAGGCCAGCACAGCCCTGTGACTCCAAAACATCCGATTGACCCAGATCTGTGGCAAGACTCAAGCTTCACAAAATAAGGTGCTCACTCCTCCCCAACTTGAGAGAAAAATGCAAAGGCAGGAAACACCAGTACCAAGTGACCAGAGCCAGGTCCTCAGCCTTCCTGGGGGACACCGGAAAGGGCTCTGGCTTCAGAATGAAGGAGAGAGTCGCAGCCTCGGGAAGCAGAGAGACTGAAGCCTTCACAGGAGAGTACGACGGGAAGCAGAAGAAATGCAGAGAGGTTCTAAGGCACGTGGGCTGCCGATGGACAGAGAGGGACTAAGGTGAGGGGCATGATGGAGTGCAAATGTAAGGCTCGGAGTTTTGTCCTCACCACTACCAAGACAGACTCGAAAACCCCCAGCATTGCCTGGGAGATGCGGCTGCAGCATGCTCTGGTTTGGTTTCACCCCTGGTCTCCTGCTGGTCCACCTGGCAAACCTCCACAAGAACTGGAAGCCCATGTCAAGGATGGAGATACTGACTTGAGAGACACCGACAGGCGACATTTAAAACAGAAAGAGGAGGGCCGGGGGTATTATCTTTGCAGTAGAGTGCTTGCCTGGCATGTGCAAGGTCCCGGGTTCAACTGGTCACTGTGGCATTAGTTAATAATTAATTTAAATGAAACAAAAAGGGGAAAAGCAGATGAAATAAAAAGAAAGAAGAGTGCAGCTACCAGAGGCCATAGCCAAGCCGAGGGTGAGAAGAAAACACTGCGGGCAGTTCCTAGGGGTGACAGCCTGAAGGATGGCCAGATGGGGGGTGACATGGTGGCGAGCACAAAGGTGAACACTCCCGACAACCGTGGGCAGAGTCCAGGGATGTCTTAGTCAGGGTTTCTAGTGCTGCCTTGAAACACCGTGACCAAAGAGCAAGTTGGGGAGGAAAGGGTGTATTTGGCTTACACTTCAGCATTGCTGTTCATCACTGAAGGAAGTCGGGACAGGAACTCAAACAGGGCAGGATCCTGGAGGCAGGAGCTAATGCAGAGCCATGGAGGGGAACTGCTTACTGGCTTGCTTCCTCTGGCTTGCTCAGCCCACCTTCTTTCAGAACTCAGGACCAGCAGCCCAGGGATGGCACCATTGACCATGGGCTGGGCCCTCCCCCATTGATCACCAAATGAGAAAAAGGCCTTACAGCTGGATTTCAAGGAGGCATTTCCTCAGCTGAGGCTCCTTCCTCTGACTCTAGCTTGTGTCCAGTTGACACACAAAACCAGCCAGTTGGGGTGAACTGGCAGAGTCTGTGGGAGAGTGGAGAGCAGACGGCCGCAGGCGAGGCTGAGTGTAGACTCTGGCAAAGAGAGAAAGGGAAGAGAAGCTGGAGGTAGTGGGATATGTTCATAGAAAACCCTTGACGTATTTACAAAGAGTGGGGATGAGCAAAGAGGAGGGGCTTGAAGGAGAAGGAAAGGTCCCAGAGTGTGGTGGATGGGGAGTGCTGGATCGGGTGCCCAAAGGGCCAGCTATGTGAAATGGGAGGTGAGAGGAAGGAGGGGAGGGGAGGGTGAACTGCCTGTTTAGTGTTGGGGCAGGAACCCAGCAGGGCCACGGGAGCTGTAGAAGGTTGGGGCATCCTGGTGTAAGGACTCCATGGGTCAAGAGCAAGCAGGATGGGGTGAGCACCTGACAGAGCTGGAGGTCTACATGCTGAGGAGAGCCTAGAAACATGAAGCCAGGCATTTGTTCCTACTGTAAGGAGACTGCAGGAGAGGCAGGGGCCCTAGAAATCAGTGAGGGGCTGAGAGGAGTCAAGCCACACCCCCAAAGATGACAGCAAAAGATGAGAGAGAAGAGAGGCTCCCAGGGGCTGAAGTGGCTGACTGGAGTTGAGGAAAAGCACAGAATGGGATGGGATGCCCACAAGGGAGCTTCCTGGCTGGGACACCAGGGTTAGGAAAACACCAGGTCTCTAATGGCCATCCTGTCAACACATTCACAACCCTGGGTGACCAGGACACTGTGGACAGTGCCCAATACTATGCAGTGGCCAAGCTCGTCTTCCCTGGAGAAGACACTGAGACACACACACACACCAGAGAGAGGGAGAGGGAGAGGGAGAGGGAGAGAAAGAGAGAGAGAGAGAGAGGATTGTTTCTGCCAATACAGCAAAAGGCCTATAAATTGAGACTCTTCATAGCCAGGTACTCTACCATGATGCTGACAGAGAAACTTCAGGCCCCCATTGTCGAACAGGGCATTCCGACATCCTAGGGGGGTAGGAGGGACATTTTCTGAAATAGAGGAGGACCCAGTAGTCATCACCTCACCTGGAGGAGGCGTTTTTCTCATGTTTGAAGGTGTGGATCAAATGCTATCACAGCCGCTCTCCCCTACCTCCCCTACCGTACTAGACGGAGAAAGGCTTCTAAGGACGCGTGATCGTAAGGAAGACACATTACAAGAGAAATAGTGCAATCTTAATGAGCTGTGTGACTAATAGCTTTGGTGGTTTGGTTTCAGAAGACAGGGAGGGACCTGTAGTTCGTTTAAGGTAGCCTTGCACCAGGCCTCTGTTTGGGACATTCCTTCCACAGTGCCGGTGCGATCTGCTCAGCACTCACTCTCTTCCCAAATCCGAAGTAGAGGTGGGTCAGACCCAGTCCCTGCACTTCTAATTTTGAGGCTCGGGGCTGGAGGTGTGCTGAGCACACACACGGCCCCGAGTTCGTCTCCAGCACATAAATAAAGACACAAATAAAAACACGTTAAAGCTTTACTCCCGAGGCTTTACCACGCCATCAGCCGAAACCAAGTTAACACCTACGGAGACAGCCAGTGTCACGGCGTCCAGCTCGATTTTGCCCAGGTGTCCGCAGAAGATGGAACTGACGATGCTGATGAGGAAGATCATCAGCTGCGCCAAGAACTGCAAGGAGCAGAAAGGCGGTCACCCTCGGCCTTCCTGCGACCCGCCTGGCGCCCGCAGCTCCGAGTCCTACTCACCACCGGGCCTGCGAGCGCCACCAGCGCGGCTGCCTCCCGCAGCATACCAGGGGACAGCGCACCCCGCAGGCCGCCAGGGATGCGCCACTGCGGGGCGTCGGGGGGCTCCGGAAGCCGGATGGCCGCGCCCGGGCTGTCCTCGGCGAGCTCCATGGTGCAGGCTCTGATGCAGGCGGGAACGGCACGTGGAGCGGAGGGCGGAGTGGCCCACTGCCGGGCGCGGGCAGCCGCGCGGGACCCACCCCACGCGCCACCCCACCCGGGGCGCCGCGTCCAAGTCCAACCGTCACCGAGCGCAGAGCGAGCGCGGGACAAGCCTCGATCTGGGTGGCCGGAAAATGTCACCTTATGTACCCAGCAAGAATGACTCTCTGAGGGAGGCTTTAGGGGGTCCCAACCAAACCCAACCGATAGAGGGCTGTGGGTGTAGCTCAGTGAGAAATGCTTGCCTGTAGTGGATGAGTTCCAGCCCCAACCATCAAAAGAAAAACAAAGTAAATTGGACCGGTTTTACTCACAGTAGCTGGATTTCCTAATTGTGTTCATTTTCTGTTCTTTGAAAGCTTGCTGAGTTATCAGTGTGTACATAACCCTTTAAGAGGCTAAAAGAGTTGGGCTTCGTCTTAATGCCTTTATTAAACTTTGTCCTCCGGCCACCACCAGGAATTGTCACTCATGTTTGGGTCTTCACCGCTTCACAGCTCCAGAGACCTTCCCTGCCTGCACCCCCACAGGAGATCTGAGCTCCCTCTGATGATTAATAAATGATGTTTGCTCACAGAATAATAATCTACAGAGACATTAAAATAACGGAGAGGCATAAAATGTATTTAATAGGAGTCACACAATAAGAATATAGAAGCAGTTCAGATACAGGTTTCTATCTTAGAAAACAAGGCACAAGAAATAGGAAGTCCACACCTGAATATAGTCAGTACACAGCAGTCCGTGTTTGACCGGGGTGGATGAATTAATATTCCAACATCATCTTCCCCATATTGTCTTAGACCACAATATGGTGTTTACCTTGTTCCTTATTAGAGAAAAAAATTTGAATTCTCAGTTCATAAAACCCATGAGCACAGTTGAATTTTGTTAGCTAAAATGACTGGCCACTGCCAGGCCTATGAATTGTCTGTAAGTTCAAAGCTGCATGTGGTCCCAGACTTACAGCCATTCACTTTCCAAGGGCTCTCAACTTTACATTGGTACAAGAGTGACATGCATTTAGTAGAGACTATTTTGAACTGGGAGCTTTTCCTGGGTTCACAATGTGTGACACCATCCTTCGGAGATATGGGACAGTGACAGTGAGCTACAGCCCCCAGGGTGGTCCTGCAACCCAGGGGTGAAAAATTAACATTCTAGTTGGTACAGTATTTGGAACAGTTTTGTTTGGTAGATTAAGTGTATTGCATGCATTGTCCACTCCCAATGCATGTTCTCTCTCTCTCTCTCTCTCTCTCTCTCTCTCTCTCTCTCTCTCTCTCTCTCTCTGTGTGTGTGTGTGTGTGTGTGTGTGTGTGTGTGTGTGTGTGTGTGACTCTCAGTCTTTCTGTCTCTGTCTCTCTATGTCTCTGAGTGTGTGTGTGTGTGTGTGTGTGTGTGTGTGTGTGTGTGTGTGAGAGAGAGAGAGAGAGAGAGAGAGCTTACTTGTTAGAGGGCCCTGAACACACTAAGCATGTGTTTGTCTGTCACAGCAACACCCCCAGTCCTGATGTAGTATTTTCAGTATGTGTTGGATTGGTCAGGTGTTAATCTCATACACTGAGGAGCACCTGTGTGGCTTGTTCTTCGACTCTTCCACATCACTCAGTTCTGACATATACTCTCACTAAGATCCCCCCCACGAAGACGACTACTACTCCCAGGAGCAGGAGCCCTCGCCGTAGGGCCAACTGTTTCCCAGATAGTTTATGGCTGTCCTTCGGGTGGACAGGCAAAACTTGTTGCTGGTTCGTCTGCTGGTCCAACTGAGTCTCATCTTTTTTTTCGAGATCCGTCATCATGATTTCCCCGTGGCTTTCAGGATTCACTGTGAGGGTAAAAGCACCTTAGTGAGCAGCATGAAAGGATTTTTATTTTCATATGTACAAATGGTGGTTATTATTCATGATTATTGCTAGGAGAGAGTTAATTTGAGAAGCAGTTGTTATGATAGATAAATAAATAAAAGAAACCACTGTTGACTGCTAGGTAAGAGGTCTTAGGGCTATGCACCTGCTGCCATCCCTTTGAATGACTATTAATGTCCCTTCAAGTTGTTATGGTTGGTTTCAGATAAGGCCCTGCAGAGAAAACCATAAGGAAGCCATCGGAATTGCCAAGTCACTCTGACCCACTCTCTGGCTGACCTGCCACACACTTTGCCCACTACAACCTCATTGTACTGACACTCTCTGTCCAGAAGTTCCTGCCCACCATTTTGTACATGCAAAGCATGATCTGTGCGTGTTCAGAAGTGTCCCTGCCTTGACCGATGCTGCGTCTCTCCCATAGAAATAGGCCTAAGTGACTCCAATATCATCTTTTTACTGCCTTTGCCCCAGGAGATACTCACAGGGGACAAATAGGGCACATTTGTGTTTCGTTTTGTAGTAAGAAATAGCGGCATTTTACAAATAACAAGAGTCGCACACTTGCACCCCATTCTCTAGGAAGGAATCCATGAGTGTACTGTAAGCAGCTTGTGGGAACGCACTGCTAACGGATTGTTTGTTCGGAGTTAACTTTCAATCTAAATGTCATCCAAACTGGCTCAGGAGAAATGCAAACTTCAGTGACCTTGGCCAGCCCTCCCCTGCTACGAGTCTCAGAGACAAGGCCAAATACGTGGCCAAGAGGACAAGACTACACTCTGAAATGATTTATTGCCCCTTGTGGTTTGAATATTTCTTCACTATGCTCCTTTTCCTCCCTTTGGGAACAGTAACGTACATCCTGGTGCCATTGTATGTTGGAAGTATGTGATCTGCTTTTTAATTTTGATCTTACAAGAGATTGTACATAAGAGATTGCCATGAGTCCCAGAAGAGACTTTGGACTTTTTTTTTTTTTTTTTTTTTTTTTTTTTTTTGGTTTTTCGAGACAGGGTTTCTCTGTGTAGCTTTGCGCCTTTTCCTGGAACTCACTTGGTAGCCCAGGCTGGCCTCGAACTCAGAGAGATCCGCCTGGCTCTGCCTCCCGAGTGCTGGGTAGACTTTGGACTTTTAAACAGGGTTGAGACTGTTATATGGGGACTTTTGAAGTTGGATTAAATGCATTTCTGCATTATGTTATAGCTACAAACCTATGCGGGCCAGGGAGTGGAATGTGGTAGTTTGAATGAAAATGGTCCCTACAGGCTCATAGAAAGTGAGGCCTTGTTGGAGAAAGTGAGTCACTTTGAGGTTTCACAAGCTCAATCTAGGCCCAGTGGCTTACTCTTCCTTCCTGCTGCCCGAGGATCTAGATACAGAACTCTCAGCCCCTCTCCAGCACCATGTCTGTCTACACTCTACCATGCTTCCTGCCATGATGATAATGGACTGAACGTCCGAACTGTAAGCCATCCCTCAATTAATGTTTTCCTTTATAAGAGTTGCCATGGTCATGGTATCTTTCACAGCAATAGAAACCCTAAGACACCTCTGTTCCCTGTTCTCTGTAAATATGCTAGTAAGAGAAGGAGGAGGTAGGCAGGTCTTTCTCGGGCTTCCCACATCTTCCAGTATGCTGAATAGAGCACAATTTAAAAATTCAATTCTTGGTTTCTGTTTATCGTGATAGAAAACCAAATTCCATCCCCAGTACTGCTGAGGGAGGATTTCCAGGACACTCTTGGATCTTATCTCTGAGTTGTGCTTATTGGCTTTGTACTTCATCAAGAAGTGACTCTGGAGCCATCCAAGTAGGGGTGAAGATCTTTTAGAGACACTTGGGCCCCTTCCTTCAGCCATCAGACTAGGACAACAATGGTTCCCAAGACATCGGCATCCTCCCCCCGCCCCAGAAATCTCACGATAGGAGAAGGAGAAGGCGGATGCCTGGTGTCAGCCAGGGAGGAACTTGTCTCCCACAAAGAGATTACACAGTTCTGACAACTTCTCAGACAATCTCACAGGAAAGACTATCAGTGATGTGTCGCTGAGGGGCAGGACCACATGTTGACCAGGACTGCATATCTATGCATTCCTTGTGCCCTCTGCTTAAACCTAAACCTCGTGTCAGGACCCTGAAGGGGAAGGGGAAAGAGATGTCACTGGACCTTTCATTTGTTCTTCTTTCCAGTGTGGCTACACTGAATAATAAATCCCCTTTCTCTGCCTTCTAGCATTACCTGTTTGCTTAGTTGGCCCATTGAGGACAGGGGTTGAGTCTGGGGTGGGGCTGCCAGGGCCCAGGCTCTGACCCTAACAGTGCCTGTAACAGCCCCACGTTGGGTCCATTGTCTCTGAGTGCCTCTATTCACTCTGCAAACCACTCTGGTCAGCCAGCATGGGGAGCCAGAGAGCTTCCTAGGGTCAGGCTTTTCAGGAGGCTGATATCTGCCTAGTAGGCATTCCAGACATAAAACAAATGGAGGACAGACAAACTAAGACATAAGACTCAAGATATTCACAGAACTGAATATATGGGACTCTCTACCTCCAAGGACCCACTGAGTACCAAGCAAGATAATGATTCACACCAAGACTCAAGTTCTATGGCTTGTGGAATAAGAATACTAACAGGAAAACACACTACAAACTTTCCAAGAGAAAAATAAAGGCAGATTACTCAGTAGCCTAAGAAGAAGATTGGCATTAGCTTTCTTGAAAAGCATGAGGGTATAAAGTGATTGAGTATACTTTATCCGAAATGCTTGAGCACTAGAAGTATTTCATATTCCAGTGGTTTGGATTTCAGAATATTCCAGATTAGGGATTTTCGATCTGTGCTGAGATTGTTACAATGGCCTCAGAGACAAGACAAAATAATTTGGAACATCATAACACAGGTTTCACCAGGCATGGTGGTGCACACTGTAATGTCAATTTGGGAAGCAGGAGGGTCAGAACTTCAAGGTCACCCTCACCTAAATGCCAATTCAAGGCTAGCCTGAGCTACATAGATCCTGTCTCAAAGAAACAAAAACAAGCAAAACTTTTAAAACTAGACAATATCAGGTCACA